GCTCCAGGGGAACCCGTTCCTACCAGGAGCGGTGGCTCCAGGAGAACGACTTTTATCGGGCCCTCTCCTCTTTATTTTACGACCGTTCCCCACCTAACACAGAGAGCCGACCCCCCCTCCCTCTCTCTCTCTCTCTCACACACACACACGCTTTCTGCACGCTGCCGTTACCAGAATCGTCAGCGTGCGCTGCCATCCACTAGAAAAGCGGATTCACCGTTATACACGTCTCGCGTTGCCCGAAATTTCCCTCGAACCCTTACCCCCTTCAGCCCCCCAGCCACTGTGCAGCCTGATTCTTGCCCCATTCCTGAGACACGCTTCGCGCGGACGGAATGAATATCGAGGATACGAGGCCGGTTTTTCGGGGATTTCGGATAGTTTGTTTCGGCAGGGGATTGTTCCACTCGGGATAGGAAAGCGCGAGAGTGTGCTCGGGTATATAGTTGGGGGGTGACGATGAGTATGGCTTTCGTGTTCGATGTTTTTAGTAGGCTAATTTTATGCGGTAAGTTTGATGGACTTTTTCGGATCGTGTATTTTGATACGACAGTAATTGAAGATGCGCTTGAATAAATGTAAGTATGATTTCCGTGTTCGATGTTTCGTAGGCTAATTTTACGCGGTACCGTTGACCTTGTAAGTTGGATTCACTTTTTGGAATCGTTTGATCGATAGCAATTGAAGAAGTTGTGCTAGGATGAATGTTTGAAGAAATTTTGCTGTGAAGATTTTTATGTCGTGAGAATTAATCGTGTGACAGTGGTTTATGAAGTTCATCGTATCCAGCGGTATTGTGGAAATTAATCAGAATGAAATATTAATTACCATAAATGATATGTTGCAGTAAAAAGTGATCAATAGATCTACAATCTCAAAGCTTAACAATTAAATTTATAGTACTAATATAGCATTTCTTTAAAGGACTAAACTCGCTAAGACGTCGTTATTAAAAACTATGTTAATTAAAATTTCTTCGTTATTATTTCAAAAATATTTCATTAAATTATATTTGAAAAATAGAATCAATTCACGTTCTTTTTTTTTGGCAATTTAAGTCTTTAGTAGTTTTGCTTTCACGAGAAAAATAATAAATTCGGTTTCACTAGGTATTACAAGGTTAAATAAAATTACCGAAACGTAATTAACAAAGATACGTTTTATCTTCTTTGAAAAAAGGAAACAAAAATTCTAGCAACTTGCTTCAGCTGAAGCAATATTTTTCATTCGACAATCGAGGGATGCAGTACGTAAAACCGTGAAAAAAATGAATGGAGACGTAACTGACACGGACCATCTGTTAGCGCGAGACTTCATAATTCCTTTTGTTGGATTCGATCACGGTCATCGACAGAAAAGCGGATTCGATGTTACATTCCGTCGATAGAACTCGCGACCTTCCTTCCTCCTATTCTCTTTTCTCTGTCCTTTTTCCATTTTTTCCCAAAACCGATTCAGTCGAGAGCGAGGTGATGGAAAAAAGATCATACACTTGACAATTGAAAGCGAATCGACAGCGACGCGTTTCACGAAGGAACGACTTTATTATTCCATTATTTATTTTACGAAGCCCATCGACGCGGTGGGTGATTCCGCGAGTTTATATTCAACCCCAGCCACCTCCTATCAATTCACTATCCCGGCAATTTTTGCTTTAGAAAACCACGATAGAGCCAGTGGATCCTGTCATCGACAGTACTATACGCATCGTACTTTCGAATTAATCCTCCTTTCGTCCTGTTCATCCCCCTTCTTCACCGTATATCACATTTATTCTCTTTTAACCTGAGTAACCCTGTCTCCATTGTTTTCTACCGTTCTTTAACTCAATGATCGTGGTTATTGCCTTATACATTTCTATATTTATTTTATAATGTGTGTCAAATGTTCGAAAGAATAGGAAGTAGATATCATGTATTACTACTGAAAACATTTTTACAATAATTAACGCTAATATTTATTTTCAGTAGTTTTTTCTAACAATTCTTCAAATTACCGAATTTTGACTTTCTAGTTTTAGTACATTTTTTTAGCAATTCCACAAATTCCTAAAATTCACTCAAATTAGACATATTTTAAAATAATTTAGAACGTTTATTTTTCGCGTTTAAAGCGTGTAAAGTGCTATGTAACATTAACATCACGGTTTCTAGAATATTCAACGCTAATTCGATTAAAACATACAGTCTTAAATATTAATTCCCTTGGAACAAAACAGAGAAGTGATAAAAATACCGTTCGACGGTGAAATCACTTCGACCTGTTCACCGTACGGTGAACTAAATAAACTCATAACAATGATTAAATATTCAGGGTCGGTAATAAAGAGGCTGTCCCCTCCACCTCCATAAATACCACTTCGTTCACCCTATTCCACCCCTTGGTTTAGCGCAGCACGCCCTTAGCTTTAGCAACAATGTACCGTATTATGAACTACGAGGCCCCCCTTCTCGTTTTTCATCCCCCTTCACGGTTATTGCAGATACGCCTTGATGCGATAATTTCGTTCGGCCACTTGTGACTAAAGAGCAATTAGCGCGTAAAGAAAAATTCACGGCATTGATTGAAAGCGATATACAGAACGGGCTTTCGATTTCGTGCTTTTTTTTCTTTCCTGGACGAAAAAGGGACGATAAACCGTGGCGCCAAATATTGTATCGTTCTTCTTTTCATACATATTTAAGCAATAAAATTTAACGAGAAGAAAATTAGAAAATTTTCCTCCTCTGACAATTGAATTTCATAAAACGCTTAGAAAATAACCAAAACCATTCCTTTTTGTACATCCTTGGACAATGAAATTTAACGGGGATAAAATTGTAAAATTTTTAAGAATTGAATTTGATCATTCAATTGGTAAAAAAAAAAAATAGTACAGGTATTTTTGTAAGTGAAATGTTGACACTCACCTCAATCTTTTAGCCTCGTCGATGAAAGGTCGCTTCTCACTTTCGCTCAGCAGCTTCCATTCAGCACCGAGCCTCTTCGAAATCTCAGAATTATGCATCTTCGGGTTCTCCTGTGCCATTTTCCGTCGCTGTCCCCGTGACCACACCATGAACGCGTTCATCGGCCGCTTGATATGCTCGTTGTGAAGTGTCTTCGACGACATCTCGATCTCTCTCTCTCTTATTCCTTGATCCTCCAATTAATTCTTCATACAAAGGTTCTCCCTCGATTACTATCTTTCACGTCGTTCCATCGATAAAAATTCTCCTATTCACCATTCCCATACTCTTCATCCTCATCGAATCAATTACCATATATCTCGACAAATATCCTGACACAACACCTCTTTCCAACCCCATGCGACGTCGAATCACGTGGCCAGCAAAGTTTCCAATTTCCACATCACACGCTTCAAATCTCTTCAATCTTCAAAAGCACAGTTCGCTCGAAAATTCTCTACTCTTCCCAGTGTCGCAGAATTTTCCCCGAGAATGTTCCCCGATCGTTCGTTCGTTCACCGCGATCCTCTTATCGACATTTAAAGTAAAAAACTATCACCACCAGAAATATCTTACTGCAAATCGTTCTTGTTCCATCGACCACTCACAACGTCATTTTTCCATAGTCATTCCTCTTCCTTCGTTCTTTTATCGGTCTTCTTGGATAAGAAAATTTCTCCGGTTTAACGTGCTCGCTCGATTTCGTCGTGGGTTGATCCGTCTCGCGTGGCCGGCAAACAGGAAGAGAAACAGCACCGACACAGCCACCGTGGAGCAGTGTGTGATTGATACTGTGACGAGGACTGGCAAGGATCCGTCAGGACCTCTCTGACGTCGAGTCTGGGATGAGCCAGGGAGGAATCGGGACCGTGGAGTAGCTTGGTGTCCCGTGGGACGCGGGGGAAGCAAGGATCGGCCAACCAGGAATCTTCCTCCTCTCCCACCATGCTACTCGGCTAATGGACACCCACGATTGGCTCCTTCGTCGACATGGCGGACGGAGGATACATAGGCGCGTTCAACAGGTGGAGGTGTGCGGCATCTTTGTCCCTCCTCGTTGCTCCACGGCAGTCTCTCCCTCTATTTTTCCCTCTTTCTCTTTCCCGTGGCCACTTCTGGTTGCCGCTAGCTTGCCAGCCGGGACGCGACTCACTGTGTCTGTTACGCAGATTATCGTACTATCGCTTTTCTGACCTTTTTGCTCGATGGTCAGCTTGCATCCGGCAGACATTGACGCTTTCGGATCGAGACAATGAAGTTGGAATTGATTTTCGAGGCGTTAAGTAGTATAGGTACGTCGCAGGTCAGACTCGCGGCTGGAGCATTGGGAGAGATATTCGGTCGTGGGATATGAAACGTAGGAATTTTAATCGTTCCGGCGATTAGTCGAGTGTTGAAGGATTCTGAGATTTTTTTTTTAAATAATTTTTATTCTTTCCTATAAAATCTGAGATTTCGTTTGTTGTAGATGATCTATGAGAGTTTTCAAGTGAAACGAACGGAGGGTTCGAGAGATTAAAGTGTTAGATGCTTTGTCGAGTGATAAGGTCTTTGAGTAGCGAGCTAGTTAAGACTGGAATTACCTGAGTGAGTAGATAAAATGTTTGTTGTGCCTTTATGGATGGTATATGCTATTTTATGGCGTTTACGAATTTTACGTTACGTTACGAATCGTAATTGTAATCGGCAACACAGCTATATGTGTTCAAGAAAAATTTACATATACTCAACTGTTATCGAAAATAATTGAAATTCAATATCATATTAATCCGAGTATGACCGAATTACTATTCCAAAGAATTTATTATTTAACCATCGATCAACTTGTCTATAATGGATGCTAAATTATTCGAGCACTCAGGTAAGACATACATATGTCCCACTGAACACGAAAGGGTTGAGACAGTTTTCGTGCAACGAAACACTCGGTGTCCTTAGAAAATTAACACAAAGGCTACTAAATATCAAATATCATTATATAATATACAAGTATTTAGACTCACTTCTATTTTCCTCCTCAATCAGATCAAAAATTTCATGTCACATTCCAGTTTCACAGAAAGGAAAAAAAAAAAGAATAGCTATACTATATTTCTGAATGGTCAAAAAGGATGTTTCATTCTGAAAAAGTCCATCAATAAAACTTGATCAGACATCATCAATCGTCCAACCAGTAATTGATTCTTCAGCCGCAGAATTTTTCCACCGTCATCGACGCCCTCGTTAATACACCACCGAGTTCACACCTTCTCGACCGTCGAGCCATGGAACAGAGAAATTTTTTCTCGCTTTGTTAGACTGCTGTACCGAGCGGAGAGCGAGCGGGGGCCACTTCTCGAAATAAATGTTATCAGTGCTGGCAATGTCTTGCTGAGAAGAAGAAGCGGAAAGAGAGGAGGTATAAAACGAGACAAGAGGGCTGTGTGTTAGTGGTAACATCTCAGCGAATTCCAACTTCCATAAAGAAGCGCGGCTGTACGGTCGGTGCCATCGAATTTCCGGAAGGTCCCGAAATATTCATCTGTCACGAGGAAGAAGGGGTATCTGTGTCAGCTGAGTGAAAAAAAGTCCACGTGAAAATGATGTAACGAGAGACGAAAGAGAAAGAACGTCGATACTTAAATATCGTTCGAATCATTCTCATTCTTCCCCTTTTATTTCTCTCGAGGTTTCATTCATATTCGCTATCCTCGTCATTCTTCTTTCTTTTTTTTAACTTTTTGGAATGGTACTTTACGCGTGCACAGTGAGATCGTTGGGGTTTAATTCGATTTGTCAAAAAGTGACAATATTAGGCAAGATTTTAATTCAAGTAGAATAAACGTGAAATAGCAGAAAAAATGACTTATCTTCTTTACACTTTTTTATATATTTATAATACACTAAATACTAATTATTGAGATTAATTTCAAGAGACCAAGCTTGTAAATGTATAATAGATAGATAAATTAAGAAAGATTAAATTTGAATACTCTTAATTTATTAACCTTGCAATCTATAGAAATAGATTAATTTATCATAAGGTAGGATCAATTATATAGATTTATGCTTCAATAACAGAAAATTTTATGAACCCTCCGCTGAATATTACAGTAAATTAAGAATACAGACAGTATTGTAAATATGAAAACAAGTAAAAAGAAGATAAATCATTTTGCAAATTTTAATATAAACCTGAACATCTTATTAAGTCAATCTCCATAAATTGCACTTAGCTTTTATCAATCGAAACCATTTTCATGTATCGAGATTTGAAAATAAAATAATAGAAATTCAACGATTTGATAAAGTATTACTAATTACACTGTTTTCCGTAGAATTGGAGAAAATAACGAGAGATTGGAATGAAATTCAGCGTGAAATTGATCAACGAACAGATGGAAACGAATGAATGGGAATCGAAAGTGAGGGAAAACGAACGAGGGTTCAGATTATCGAAGGCAATCAGCTATTTGTTCTGTTATTAAATCGAT